CCAGGAGAACAAACAGTTTCATCATGGAGAGGGTGAAACCAGGCTGCTCCTTGGAGGTAAGGATTGTGAGACTTCTTCTGACATACTTTGGGTTTGTTGCAAAGAGGGACCAGTCCTTGGAGAAGGGACATCATGCTTGGAATGGTGGAGGGACAGTTCAAGAGAGGAAGACCCTCGATGAGATGGATTGATTCAGTGACTGGGGTAATGAGGATAGGTGTGTCAGAGACAATAAGGTTGACACAGGATAGAGCAGGTTTCAGGGCTATTGTATATAGATAGGGTTGCTATGAGTCACAAGCAACTTGACAACACATAACAACAGAAATCTCTTTATCTGTACTATTCATTATCTTTTGTATTTTCTTCCATAGCTTGTCAAGTTGCTTCTTATCAATATGTTTCTTAGGATTGTTGTCTATGAGGTCTCTTAATGGCTTCCATTGTTTCTTCCATCATTTTCATCTTCTTCTGTAACTGTTTAAATAATTTCACATCAATATCTTTCTTCTCATTTTCTCTACCTGAGATATTCATTGGATCTGCTTTTTTTTTTTTAAGAGAAGGGTTATTTTGTTTTTTTCCATGATGACTGACGGCTTATTTTGTTTTTTCATGATGATGCAGACTGCCTATGTCTTGACATTATTGTGAGTCTTTTCTTAGTAGATATTGTTGTTATGTGCCATCGAGTCGCTTGTGACTCATAGCAACCCTATGTACAGCAGCCCTAAACTCTGCTCTGTCCTGTGCCAGTCGCACCGTCTCTGATACATCCATCCCGATTACCCCAGTCACTGAATCAATCCACTTCATAGAGGGCCTTCCTCTCCTGCGCTGTCCCTCTCCAAGGACCGGTCCTTCCTTTCAACATGTCCAAAGTATGTTAGACAGAATCTCCGAATCCTTGCCTCCAAGGAGGCGCCTGGTTTAACCCTTTCCAGGATGAATCTGTTTTCCTAGCAGTCCATGGCACCCTCAATACTCTTCTCCAGCACCAGACCTCAAAGGCATCAATTCTCCTTCTGTCCTCCTTAGTCATTGTCCAACTCTCTGATGCATAGTAGATGTTAGGTTGTTGTAAATAAATAATGTCCCAGGGTATGGCAGTGTTATATGAAGGACCTACCTGTATATTGGTGCTCACTTCTTGTTTTCCCAAACCAGCATAACTTTTGCCCTCGAGAAACCACGGCTCCACTTGACCTCTTCTGCTTGACCATAGAAATCCCACAAGATATAGCTAGACAGCAGTGGTCAAGGCCACAGTGCCTCTCGTCTCTACTTTATGAGATAGTTCAGTGGCAAATTCTTCAGTTCATTCTTGTACTAGTAGCAAGTGATGTCTTGACAGGGTTTTGGATATTAGTGATTTTTTTTTCTGAGAGCCTTAATCTGTGGGCATAAAGGGACCAATGTGGTGGCAGAAGACAGGGTTCAACATTTCCAGTCCAAGGGGCAGTGGGCAGAACTCTCTTCAGGGCTCTGCCCAGTCTGAGGAGCTGGCATAGCCGGGAGGAGGTGATGGAGATGCAGATCTCTCACTGACCTGTGAGCAGAAAGGAGCCAATGTCCAGTTTCCTTCTATTTTATTATTGGTTAAATATTTCTTAGGAAGCTCTAGTGACCTAGTGGTAAGGAGTTGCACTGTCAATTTAAAGGCACACAGTTTGAATCCACTAGCTGTTCTGTGGGAGAAGGATAGGCAGTCTCTTCTCAAGTGATTTACTTGCCTCTGAACATCTGCTGGAGGGTCAGCTATAAGTCAGTTCCAACTTGATGGTCTGCAATAACAGATATTTCTTATCTTCAAAGTCCATATTTAAGAGAGAACTCAACTAAAACTCATTTTTTACAGATATAGATAGAAGCCTATCTACACCAGTCAAAATGGTCCTTAGTGGTGCAGAGGGTAACATATCGAGCTGCTAACCAAAAGGTTGGCAGTTCATATCTACCAGCCACTCCTGGGAGAAAGATAGACAATCTTCTACTGTAAAGATCTTCAGCCTTGGAAATCCACTGGAAGGTTCCTTTCAGTCAGAATTGACTCAACAGCAGAGAGTTTGGTTTTAGTTTATATAGTCAACTTGGCTCACTGCCATGGAGTTGGTACCAACCCATAGTGACCCTCCCTCAGGTTTCTGAGGATTTACAGGTAATTGGAGGAGACCACCCATATTTCTTCCTTGGAGTAGCTGATAGATTCAAACCACCCAAAGGATGCATGAGACCTCTAGGTTAGCAGTCCAGCTCACTGCAGACTATGCCACAGAGCTCAAGTAAAATAATTTCTTTCCAGACAGGCCCTTCATTGGCGGGGAGCTGAGCGGTTTGTGAAATAGGTCCATCAGCATGGCTTAGAAGAGCACGTGCCTAGAACCCTTCTGTACCACTTTACACCAGAGTCTGTTTTCCTCTTGCATCTTAATTTACTTCTCTGAGCAAAGATAATAACAAACCTTTCTTATTAGCTTCATAGAAGATTCTTGTTGAGGATGCAATGAAACATACTTAAAAACACTTTAAAAAGACAAAATATACTTTAACATGTGAGATGAGAGTCATAATATGATTACTCTAGTTGGTCTCCCAGGTTTCACTCAATTACATGAAGTTTTTTTGGCAATATTAAATCCACTTTAGGATTTACCATTGCACAAGTTTTCTTTTTTGGCATCAGTGAGATGATTTCAATCTAGTGAAAAACTCCTATGTGTTTGTCATATTCATTTAAAAATATCAGAAAATATTATTTAAATTATGCTTGTTGTGAACAGTAGAGCGTTTAAAGCAAATCTTTGTCTGAAATAGTTGTGTCATGTGGCTACATGCAAGGTAAAAACAAGACTGTCCAGGCTGGGTAGTTTATTTTGCTGATACCCAAATGAGTGATTGATTTTCTTCAGTAAATGATATTCTCTTTAAGTTTGTTTGAGCTCTGGTGGCTTAGTGGTAAAGAGTTGTCCTGCCAACCAAAGGAACACAGTTCAAATCCACCAGCTGCACCATGAGATCTAGATGGGCAGTCTCTTGCCGTGCAGTTTACTGCCTCTGAAAACCTACTGGAAGGTAAACTGGGTCAGTTCCAAATCCGCAGTAAACAACAGCAACAACTGCTAATGATAGTCTTTTTTTCAATTCTGATTACTCACAAATTATATATACCAAGTTGATAAGTTAAATAATCTACTTGGAAAAGAAACTAAGTTTTACGTAAAGGACAAATTATTTTTTTATTATTGTATCTTCTTACATTTCAGTTACAAGACGTTTGCTCCTCATAACCTACTTATGAATCAACCAAAGACTATGTTACAATTTCAACAGATTTGCTGTCATAAATTTTAAATTCATATATGGTTATATATCTTAGTGTAGGTAAATATCTGTAACAAAATTTGGAGGCAGTAACATTCTGCTGATTTGACACCATGACTTGTTTGCTCCTGTTGCTTTTATGTCTCTGTCATCAGGAGCTCATGCCAGGATCTGGCAACCCAGCTTCTTTGAGTGGCCTAGTGCTTTGTTTATCACACCAGTGGGTTATCAGGTGGCGGGAGCAAGACACACTAGCAGTGGTGTTGATAACGCAACAGAAAGCAAAAATCCAGTGTATTCTAATGCTGAATTTTTTCCACAATGTTTAGGTTTTTGTGTAATTTTAATAATAGTAGTTTTTAAAAATTTTAATTCTCACATAAAAAAAATTACTCTGGCTTCTTCCATGAAATCAGTTTTTATAATATAGCTTCTAATGTAATTGTCTTACTAGAACAGAACAAGTATTTAATGGTTTTACTCGTCCTGATTCTCTGCTAATACATCTACATCTCCTCTTGTACAGTACCTTCAATATTATAAATTAGAAATTTCTGTAAATAAGGTGGGGAGCATGGGCGGTGTAGTCTGTTGTGAGTTCCCTGCTAACCCAAAGCCTGAACCTCTCCATCAGTCTGCATCTACAAGCAGTTCCTCAGGAGAAAGATAAGACAATCTCTTTCTGATTCGATTTTACATCCTTAGAATCCAAGTGGAGGGTCACTGAGTCCCACTGATAAAACAGCAGCAATGAAATGAATCAGTGATAAGGAATGCAGAACATGGCAATAAAAGTATCCTTCAAGTGTTATAGCCAACAGTTTTCTTAAATCATTTTCTGTTTAGGCATAATGTTGTTGTTGTTGCTGTTGTTGTCATGTACTGTCAAACTGGAACTGACTCATGGCTGACCTTCAGTGTGCTTTCAGAGGTGCTAAATCACATAGAGGCAATTACCCTTTTTTCTTCCACAGAGCATTTGGTGCACTGAACCATATTCCTTTGCGTTGACAGTGCAGCTCCTCACCATTAAGCCATCAGAATAGAAAGAGCTTTATAACTGGGCAGGGGAGTACCAGCTAACTCAGACTCCAAATTCATTGCCATCAAGTCAGAACGGACTCAGCTGACTCTCCAGTGTTATTTTGGGGTTTTGGTGTTTGGTGGGATTTTTTTTTTCAGAAGCTGTAAATTGCATGGGAGATTACCCATCTTTCCCTCATGGAGCTACAGTAGATTTGAACCACAGGCCTTTAGGATTGTAGCACAGCTTCTTACAACCAGGTGACCAGAGCTCCCTTTCGTCAGTGTAGTTATATAAATTAATGCATAAGAACATAAATCCTCAAGCTCAAGTGTGACTATACTATTGTAGTGGTGCTGATATCATTTTATCTTACTGACACCTCAGCTAAGTTATATCATTTATTTATATCTTTTACATTAAGAGCAAATCATTCACTTTTTCCATACTGAGGGAATTGGTCTAAAATCTTCAGTTATTTGCTCATCTACATCTGTTCCACTGAATCTGACACACTTTATTACTTGAACATTATTTTTAGCATATGACAAATATCTACCACTTTATTAGGACAAAATTTTACCTCTTAAATAATTTCATTACTTTGAGAATTACAGTAGCTTTAGAAAGATTTCTAATGTACTTTGATTTCTAGGGATGGACATGACAAATAGTAGGAGAGAAGACTATGGGCCTGGTGTTCAGGTGAGAGAACCTTCTGCTCATGTGGACTCTTCGGCTCCTCTGATGTCTTCAGTGGCTCCACCACCACCACGGCCTCCAACGCCAGCAACAATGGCGACAGGCGGAACGGCCAACGCTACAGCTGTCCCTTCTGCTGTTTCCATTACCTCGGCTGGGACCGCTTCTGCTGCTTCCATTCATACTCCTGCTTCCATTCCTCTTATTACAGGCCCAGGAGCCCCTGCTGCACCAGAGGAAATGGTTAGTACTGTTACTGTAAGTGCCCACATTAGGACAGCAGTTGAAGAATGTGTTTATAAATGGCTTTTTTTGAACAGAGAAATAATTTTCCTGTGGAATCTGCGCAGTATTGAGACTAAGCTACAGAAAATACTTGGTATACAAAATTACAGAATAATACATTCATAATGAAAAAAAACCTTCTGCTACGGTAGTAACAATTCAGACCAAAATAAATAACTTTTTCATTTTAAATTTTTCAAAAAGTGTCAGGAAAAAAATAGATGTAATCAGATAGTTGATGACACGATTTTTTTTTTAATTATTCTGAAAGAAATTTCTGAGTGCTCTCAGAGGCTTAAGAGGTTAATAACTCTTATATGTCTTTTCTGTGGAACTGTACTTTTTTCCTTTTCCTTGATATACTTAATTACTAGCTTTGCTTGCTAGTGATGCCATCTTGGTTAGAATTTCATTTAAGTCCATGTTGTTGTTTGGTGCCGTCAAGTCGTAGACGACTCATAGCAACCCTATGAATGAAAGGCCTGAGCACTGTTCGTGCATAGTTTCGGGAGGCAAGCCATTTCGGAAGTGGGTGCTGCTCTTCTTTCCAGGCTTGTTTAAGTCCATAATTGGATTTAAATAATTTAAAATTTAAATTCATTTACATTTTCTTTAAATATGTAATTGTGATGTAGTTTGAAAGTTTATCCTAAAGTTACTGTGCTATTTGAGAGGTGCATAGGAGAGAGTTTTAAATAGGCATGGAGTGAGAACTTGACCCAAATGAAATAGTTATTGTTGCTGAGTACCAGTAAGTCAGAACCTAGTCATAGCTGACGCTCCAGTGGATTTTTAAAGGCATTAAATCACATGGGAGGAAATTGTCCCTCTTTCTCCCATGAAGCAGCTGTTGGATTCAACCGCATACCTTTGGGTTGTCAGCACAACTTCTTACCACTGAGCACCAGAGATCCCCAAGGTTTTAACTTAATAAGAATTACAAACCATATCATAACTCTGATTCTTTATCCTCCTGTTTATTGAGCCTGCATTCTTCAATGTTTTTCAACAGAGAAATGCGAGGGATGCAAGCCACATTTGTGAGGTTCACTGCTACAGGGCTTTCTTTGAAGCACTGTCTCCTTCACTATTCTGGCTGAACTCAAAGCATAAAGGCATGTTGTCATTAGGTGCATTCTATTCGAGTATGACTCATAACAACCCCATGAACAACAGATCTGAACCCTGTCCTGTCCAGTGCCATATTTATCATCTCTGGTATGTTTGTTCTCGTTGCTGCAGTCACTTTGGGGATCTTCCTCTCTTTTTGTTGACCTTCCATCTTTCCAAGTGTGATGTTCCTCCCTTTCCACGAAATAGCCTCTCCTAACCACACATCCCAAGTATATGATGAGATGAAGCTTCACCATCCTTGCCTCTAAGATGCACTCTTGTCATCTAACCGCTATCATAAGAGGAAAGACCATGATAGACTGGGCTTCAGGTCTTAAAAGTCCCCTAGCAGGCCATCAGGTGTCGTTCTCTGAATGACTATCTAGGAGTCATTCGTTGTTATTATGTGCTGTCAAATTGCTTGTGACTCTTAGTGACCCTGTGTACAACAGCCCTAAACCTTGCTTTATCCCTTGCCACTCTAACTGTCTTCAACAATATTGTGTATCCTCATTACCCCAGTGATGGAATCAATCCATCGCATCGAGGGTCTTTCTCTCCTGCACTATCCCTCCATCCTCCCAAGCATGACGTCCCTCTCCAAGGACTGATCCCACTTTGCAACATGTCCATAGTATGTGAGACAGAATTTGAGAATCCTTGCCTCCAAGGAGCAGCCTGGCTTCACCCTTTCCAGAACAAACTTGGCAGTCCATGGTATATTCAGTACTCTTCTCCAGCACCAAAGCTCAAAGGCATTAACTCTACTTCTATCATCCCTGGTCATTGTCCAACTCTCTGATGCATAGCAAGTAAGTGCAAAGACCATGGCCTGTATCAGGCACACCTTAGTCTCCAGACTGACATTGTTCCTCAGTACCTTGGAGAGGTCTCTAACAGCCGACTTTCCCAATGCAATTTGTCTTTTAATTTCCTTGCTGCTGATACTAAGAGTGTTGATTGTAGAGCCAAGCAAACTGAAGCTGTCAACAATCTCAATCTCTTCATGATCCATCATGATGCTGCCAATTGGCCCAGTGGTGAGAATCTTTGTTTTCTTGATGTTGAGCTTCAATCCATATTGAAGGTTGTAGTCCCTGACCTTCTGCAGCAAGCACTTCAGGTCCTCCTCAGTTTCAGCAAGTAGGGTTGTGTCATCTGCATAACGCGGATTGTTGATGAGTCTTCTTCCAATCCTGATGCCACACTTCCCCTCATAGAGCCCAGCCTCCCAGATAATCTGTTCCACATATAGATTGAAAAGATACAGAGATAGGACACATCCTTGGTGCACATCCACCCAATTTTGAATGATAGAGTGTTTCCTTGCTCTGTTCTGATGACTGCCTCCTGGTCCAAGTAAAAGTTTTGCATAAGTACAATCAAGTGTTCTGGAATTCCCATTCTTCTCAGAGTTAGTCACAGTTTGTTGTGATCCACACAGTCAAATGCCTTTGCATAGTCATTGAACACAGATAGACATTCCTCTGGTACTCTCTGCTTTCAGCCAAGATCCATCTGACATTAGTTAATGATATCCCTAGTGCCACAGCCTCTTCTAAATGCATTTCAGGCAGCTCTCTGTTCAGTCATTTTTTTTATAATCTTCAGCAGAATCTTACTTGCATGTGATATCAAGGATATTGTTTGATAATTTCCACATTCTGTCTGACTGCCTTTTTTGGAATGATATCCCTGGTTATGATATCCCTAGTTATGATATCCCTAGTGCCACAGCCTCTTCTAAATGCATTTCAGGCAGCTCTCTGTTCAGTCATTTTTTTTTATAATCTTCAGCAGAATCTTACTTGCATGTGATATCAAGGATATTGTTTGATAATTTCCACACTCTGTCTGACTGCCTTTTTTGGAATGGGAACAAATACAGATCTCTTCCAGTCAGTAGGCATAGTGGTTGTCCTCCAAATTTCTTGGCACAACTTGAGCACATCCAGGGCAGCATCTGTTTGTTAAAATATGTCAGTCATCAGTATGCCATCAATTCCTGGGGTCTTATTTTTTGCCAGTTCTTTTCAGAGCAGCTTGAAGTTCCTTTTTCATCACCACAGGCTCTTGCTCATAAGTTATTTCATGAAATTCTTCTGTGTCCACCAATTCCTTTTTGGTACAATGACTATCCCATCATTAGTATCCCACTTCCTTTTAATATCTCTTACTTTCTGTCTATTACTAGCCACTTAATACTGAGATCTCTGATCATAGTTCTTCTTGACTCAGAGGAGGTAAAGAAATACTGTGTCATCTAACACGTGGCTGGTAGGAGCAATTTGAATGTGTGGGGAATGTTACCTTAATCACCATAAAATAAATTTTTTATACCAATTTATGACACTAAAATCTTCCCTGACCATATATATTCAGCTGTGTATATTGTTGATGATCACCTGTTTTAAGAGTGACCATATGTAAATTATCTCTTTTAATTAAATGCCAAAGCCTCCTCCCAAGAAGTGGACTGTCTCAGAGTTCCCAAGAGTGCAGGTCTTTGTAGAAGCAGCTGCCCTGTCTTTGTCCTGGGGAGCAGGTGGTGGGTTCACTTTACCGACCTTCCTGCCCATGGCCAAGCTTCGTAATTACTGTCACCAAGGCTTCTTGAAATAAGCAGGGCAAATGTTTATGTAAATTTCTAGTTTGTCTTTTACAATGCATATTCAGATAGCCTTCAGCTAGATTTTTCAAGATGCCCTTAAAATGTGACTACCCTATTTGTACATGTGAATTTGTCTAAAAAAATCTGCATGTACATAAGAATAGCCTCATGAATTTTTTAACTACCTTTTTGAAGTCTGTCAAACCTGAAAAACACAATATTTATAGACAGCCTTGCATACTTCATAGAAGAATATGTTTCCATTTTACCCATATAAATGCAGCCTTTAGGGCTGAGGGCAATGAGTCATTGTTGGAAATTGGAAAGCAAGGAAAACTTTTGATCTAGACCAACTTTGTTTTTAATTTTAATTTTGATTGCGAAACCTTCATCTGAACAATCATAGGAATCTTTTCTGTTATTAGGATTTCCAGTAACCAAAAGGAGCTGTGTGTAGAAAATAAACTATAGGGCTCTGGGTAACACATAATCTGGAGAAAGATTATTATTATTATTGTTATAATGAAATAATACTTCTATCTATGAAATTGTTTCATTATGGTAAGGAGTTGTACTGGTAGTTTAAAAGGTTTGCAAGCAGTTCAAATCCACCAGCTGCTCCAATGGAGAAAGATGGGTAATCTCCTCCTGCAAGACAAACTGCTTCTGAAGACCTCCTAGAAGGTCTGCTGTGGGTCATTTCTGACTCAGTGGTACACAACAATAACGTATTAAATATCAGATTTTCAGAGTGGAAAATATTTTTTGGGTTTGGGTTTTTGTTGTTTGTTTGTTTTTTTTTTATTAATGCTTCAATGAAAGTTTACAGAAAACTTTGATTTCCATTTATTCGTTATTGTACATTTTCCTCCCTAACCCCCCATAGTTCGCTTTTCTTTTTTAAAAAGATGCTTTCCTTGTTGCACAATTTCCTCCCTCTCCCCCCTCTGCCCACCAGTCCAATTTGCTATGCACCTCTTATTCTGGACAGTTGTCATGCAAATAATACCTAATCATATATGCTAAGTGAAAGATCTCAGTCACAAAAGGACAAATACTGCATAATGCCACTATTATAAAACAGAACTGAGAAACTAAGAAAAGGGGATAAATAGTGAACACTGCATCGAAACAGATGCGGGAAAGAACTGTTTAAAAGGAATATATGAGTTGTTGTTGTTGTTGTTGCTATGTGCCATCAAGTTGCTTATGACTCATAACGACCCTGTGTACA